ACCAGTTCTGATCCATCTCGAGTTTCAAGGCGAAAACTAAAAAAAAAACGAAAACTAAGAAAATTCAACTGCCCAAAAATCATAACTTCGTTTAAAGAAATCTTACAAAAATTCTAACCTGCTTGCGTAAACACTATCCATTTGAGACATTTATATACGCTGTTGCCTTATTTTTCCTTGGTTAGAAATCAAAAAAACGAAGATTTTCATGTTTTTGCTAAAGCGATGCTGTTGTCCCTACATAGATAGTTGTATACTACTAGCCTGTAGAAGTGCAAATGTAAATTTTCAGTCCCCTATAAGTGTCGGTTGCCGAGAAATATCGAACATAACTTGCCTTAGTTGGGTGCCTTACGCAAAATTCCATATTTCTCGAAAACTATTCCTTATAGACAGCATGTACAGTATCATCCAAACTCAGTATCGCAAATAGGACACATAATTTACTCTTGATCTGTAATGTAAAAAATAATGCCCCAGAATATACTGCGTTGATTATTGTACCTGATTTTTTGATACGGCAGTTTTGTTGAATTCAGCTCCAGGAAGCTGCTAACAATTTTGCATGTGCAGTCTTCTTGCATTAGGCTTTTTATAAGGACATACAAAAGGTTTCATTTTACTTCGCCAGTATTTCTCGATCGTAAGTGAAGTATATTACACACTTTTCGCAACTAGAACTTACTGGATAGCGTACCTAAAAATGTTTGCGAGGTTAGGGAGATAGTTGATCCTAGTGTATTAAGTCGATGTATTATATTGCGTAATAATTAGTTTTTTCGTTTCCCTTTTGGCAAAATGTTTGTATGCGTTCAGAAGCTCTGAATCTGCTCTACCAAATAATCAATATCCTCCCTGTTTTCAAAAAGATGGGTAAAAATTCTACTACAAACCGACAAATTCTATAAGATAAAAATCCCATTTTTGACAATTTTTATTTCTTTTAGTTTTTCCGTTGTTCATTTATAAAATTTATTCAGAAGCTTGACAACAAAAGAAACAACAGACCAATTACTTCTGCACTTACTGCCACTATTCATGCTTGCTCACTTCCATTCATCGACCATTTAGTGCCATTTTTGTAGAAGTCGGCGGAGCAACTGAACTGACTGGTTTTTGACTAGAGCTTGTAATGCTGCAAGATGCGCCCTTTCGACAACAACGCCACGTTACGAAGGCGAGCTGGATGAGTGGCAACATTGAAGTGTGAACTTTGTATTTTACAGAAAATGCAATAAAATAATGTACTGTTTCTTTTGCGCGCATCCGGTAATCTTACCGATAGAGGCATTTCCGCATTTGTTTGTTTATCTGATTCCATCCAAACAGTATCACTTTCATAATTGTGCGCAAATAAAGCAAGTCATTACGCCAAAACTTTGATGTTCCCGCAAACGCAGATCTGTTATTTTAATGCTTCGGGCTTTTTCGTCATGGCATTTCTTAGTTTGTTATGAATTTTTTTACCCTTCAACCATCCTTCTTATTTGTTAATTGAAGCTGCCTAGTGCTGCTACTCTGTTATTTAGGTAAAGCTCTAACAGGTATATTCATCTCCAGATAAAACAGTTGCACAGTTCAGAGCTTTGATATGTCAAACATTGAGCTCAGAAAGTTAAATAGCATAATTGTCATCTAGTATAGCCGGCTGTAATAATGGCTACAAGCTGCAAAAATTTTGAGAACGCGCTTGAATGCAAATCACTGATGCGTACTTGCATTGAATGGTTCGTTAGTTCGCCCATTCATGATCATTGAATGACTCTCATAGCCTTGTATCTATAACTCGACAAACAAAGAGAGACCAAACAAGTAAAATTTGAGCTAGTAGTAGATATAAGTATATTTGTTTTTAAAAACGGTTCTTTGAATTATTAGGTCAAGAAAGTAGAACTGTTTCGTTCAAAATCAATGTAGATTCTAACACTGGTCATCCAGGGGTTAAATTCTGCCTTGAATGCATGATGGAAAGTTGAAGGTGATTTCAACCTTAAAGTAGATTGACGAATACGAGTTTATGCGTTTCGAGGTGGAATTTTACCTCGGTAAACTTAAGCCACGAAAATTTTCTTGCGCCATGGCTAAAATAGAATTCACCCTTGAGGGTTCTTTGATAAAATCGGCACCACTCACCACTCTACCTCCTGTTGCTTAAGTAACGTAAAGGTCATGCATAAGCTTGACGCTGCGATACGATTACCTTATTGCACAGATATATGTTACATGCCAGTCATTTCGCTCTTCTCAATTCTCCCAATGCCCGGAGTATGTCGCCATCTCAGCACCTTCCTAACAACCGTATCTTTCTTTATCGAAGTACTGTACAGGTCAGGTTTGGTTTCTACTTTCCCGCTTCTTTCAGTCTAACGATTTTTAGATGGTGTCAACAAACGTTGGTTCTGTGCATCTCTTTAAGTTTTATCCATTTACTTCATTTTGCTGGTTTTCGCTATCTTCATAGAGGCTTCGCTGTGCATTCAACAGCGTCGGCGTCTCGCTGTCAGCAATCAGCACATTAACATTAGGCCGATTTTCAAAGACTTATTAGGCTAGCATTAAGACTTGTGGCTGATTTCAGATTGTGATATGAGCTAGAATGCGTTCAATTGGTTTGACTCCAGTGGCAAAGTAAAGAAAAATTTACACATATCTCGAAAACCTGAACTGGCAATGAAATTTTGCTGCGTTTATAATGAGGCCTTGAGACCTGAATCACATATTGAGCCAGAACTGTGCATGAATTGTTGCTAGAAGGATGTACAGTTTCGTCTTGATGTATTTGTTTCAAGTTGCGGACGGCCCGTTTTTGTTTTCAACGACGCGATTTGGCAATACTTCAACAACTCATCGCGCGCGCATTCTCAATGCGGGAAGGAAAAGACATTTTTTTCTTCGAGAGTTGTACGGGCTGTTGCCTGCCAGTGTTGGGTTTGAAGACAGTTGGTGAATTTCCAGATCGCTTGGCGAATGAAATCGCGTGAGGTATGGCCAATGCCTTGAATAATTTTAAAATGGCACAGAATTCATTTGACAATGAGAAAGCCATTGTAACCGAGAATCGTGTTAGTAACGAGGATGCAACGTGTTTGTCTTAACATCTTGACGACAGTGCCGCGCAATGGTGCGCGATACCCTAAATTGCATATATATATATATATATATATATATATATATATATATATATCGCATTCAATCGTTCTAATTTGTCTCATACAACGAATTTAAAGGCAGTGTCCAAGCAAAAACTCGATTTCTAGAAAATCCACTTACCAGGGGTTTCCGCAACGCTAAATCCGAAAATCCACATTAGAAGGCGCGAAAAGGCAAGAACATACTTTTTCCAAAGTTGCACAATTTAAAATTTGACGGTCCCCACCTGGCGGCATACCTACTCTGCCGCATAGCAGGAATTCGGACAGCTCGGAGGACCCCGCCCCAAGGCGTAAGTTTCCCCACTTTGCGGTCGTTTTTCTTGCTTTAGGTTAAGCGTTATGACGTCGCACTTGCGCGATGTCGTGTCTGAGGGGGCCCACTCTCGCATGGCACTGAAATCCCAAAACCCCTATCTTGCCCGGACACTGCCTTTAAGCTTATGCGTAACTCATGTTGGCTCCTCCCCTCTTTTGGCAAACTCTGCCCACTCCATTACTTTCCACAGAAACTTTTCTCGTGATCAAAGCGCACAGAAGAGGTTGTACATGACAGCACAACTTCGAAGCGACTCCAACCTCCTGTTAAGCAGGCCCCACGCCTTTAGTGGCAAGCTCCCACTTTCCAAAACTGACAGGATTTGCCCAAACTTCTAGAATTCAGGCAATCCAGCATTTGGTAAGTGGAGCTGTTCCGCACAATTGCACGCTCAAACTTCATGCGGCACGAGAACGTCTCATCCACAAGAACAGAACAGAAAAAATTGGCTTGTCGTCAATGTGGTAAAGGCAAAGATTGGGTTTACTGAATTTTTACGGATTTCATTGAAGAAACCTCTCATCACGCCAATGCCGAAGTCATTCGATGAGACTTTTCCTATTTTTAGAAAACTAAGCTTAAAGGCACACGGAGCGCGATTTGTCGGCGCTATACGACTTGCCGCATTCACATTCGCGTTCCAACGAGTCCTTCAAAGCCGCGCCTTCAGTCTCGACATGTCTGACCCTGCTGCCAAAGCTAAAGGGTGGGACATCTCGTCCCGTTGCTTCTACAGAGCCTCCGAATCACGAAGTTTTTGGGATTTTTGAGCAGGTAACCCGTATAGGGTTATGCAAGGTCGGAAAAGCTTGTAAATCGCAGAAATTTTGGGATTTGAGTTCTGGTGAGACAGTGTCTTCAAAGGCAGTGTTCAGGCAAATCTGGATGCATGGGTTTTTTCCGTGGAAACTAATATGGGGGTCTTAACTAAGGCACTGTCCAAACGGTAGCGCAAATGATTCACTCACTGCTGAGAAATCCGCCCTTAAACATCCCGCGCCTGCGTGTGATCGTAACTCGTGACTTGAAATGGGCGCGAACTTATTTTCAAAGTGAGCGAAGTCATTTCCGGGTTAGGGATCCGTCATACTTCGCCGAGGAAAGCCCAAAAGCGCCCAAAAAAGCCCAAAAAAGCCCGAAAAAAACCCCGAAAAGTCCGAAAGAGCCGGAACGCAGAAACGGATTTTCTGGTAAAATTCTGACATTATTTTGATGTGGAGAAGACAGAAAATGAAGCAAAAAGACTCTGTCGCGAAAGAAACACACATGTCTTAGCGTCAAAACGAAGGGACGTTTCGGCTCTTTCGGACTTTTTCGGGCTTCTTTGGGCTTTTTTGGGCTTTTTGGGGTTTTTTGGGCTCTTTCGGGCTCCTTCGGACTTTTTCGGGCTTCTTTGGGCTTTTCTGGGCTTTTTTCGGCGAAGTATGACGGGCCAGTTACGGTCACGGCGCAGGCGCTAAGTGCGCTACACTAAGTTTAAACATGTTCATTCAAGTGTCCACTGCAACCGTGTCTTATTAACTAGACATTTATTACACAAAGACAGTTGCAAATATCCCGGTCAGTGTTTGCTGCTTAACGCATCGGCTGACTTTTTGATGAACTCCGAGGCTGTTTTAAAGCTTCCATTGGCCTTCAGTACCGTTTTCTTGACAATCGCAAACCTTTTTGAGAGATTACGCCTGTACGGCAAAACATAGAAGATAGTGATACACGGATCAACCACAACCACCAATGGTGACAGTGAAATTGTTAGATACTCAGCTGCGATACTACGGAAAGATAAGAATTGTTGCAGCATATATAGGATAATACCAGGAAACGAGAACACCAAAGGCATGAAAGATTGGAGTATGAGGGCCTAAATTTTCCGTATCAGGGATTTACTCTGGTGCTATGCTGGAGATGACATACCTTTACCATCCTCTTGAACATCTGGGCGTTTTTGGTAGACATACTGTTAGCATTTTTTATAAAAAAGCTTCTCATCTGTAATGGTAAAGATAGAGAGGAAGTTGTAAGTTTTTCTATGGAAATAATTATGATACCTGAAACCCTATTGTTACCATCACCACAAATGACGTGATTGCAATTCCGCTTAGCACAGTAATCAAATACATGACGTATATGTTTTTGACGTCTGGTAAGCCACAATAGTTCCCGTATCTTTGCAATTCGTACTCGGGTTTCAATTTATTCAAAATGACGTGCAATTCCGAGAAGTCTGGATTATCAACGAGCAGAGCAACCTGGAAAATATACTTGATTTGGACGCATGCGTATAAAATATAAGATATAGATCTTACTCCAGTGGATATAGGAAGGAGGGAGAATAAAACTGCAGCAACAAAAAGTTGTTTTTCACTGGCACTTTTTCCCTTTAAAGTTGCAAATTTGTAGACCATGCACATAGCGATTGTCATAAATGCATAAAAGTCGATGGCTAGAAACAGCGCTGTGCAAAAAAGTGCTAGACGAGGCATATCCAAAAATCTCATAGGTCCTAGGGCTACGTATCCAAGCGAGTCCCCCACAATGACGAACCTATGAACAATAATAAGACAATAAAACAGGTTTTTGTAAGTCAACTTAAAGCAAATCGACTCACCGTATCTGTAGGAAAAACGTCAACAACGAAAGCAGCAGAAGCGCACATGATGAATTTCCTAACAGAATTCGATATTCTTTGATTGAGTTGTGTTTTTGAGTGACTGTTAACAATAGTACATATGAATTGAGAATGATTCCGAGGATGCTGTACGTCGAATAAATAGTAGAAAATATGTAGTCTAGAGACCTTTCATGTGCAACAACGGACGCTGTCATTGTGATTGCGGTTTAATAGTGAAGAACAGACATGTCCGAATCGCTTGACATCGTTTAGTTGAATATCAGACAAATTTCCGCTTTCCGCAAACTTGTTTGAGTTACTCAGTCGCACTCTTTCCGATCTTCTGGTCTGAATTATAGGAACTCAAAATCTCAAAACAAAATTTTCGTGAGAAGCCGGAACAAATACAATTGAATAGTGTCGCAAGGACGAAAAAGCAGTCAAACAGACAAGCTTCTGTATCTCACGGCTCTAACTATTAGAAGGTAACTGCATTTCAACTCCATCCCAGTCTAAGAAAATACGCTCGTTTTGCGCCTTTCCCTTTTAGCACAATCTACAAAGAACTTTATAAATTTGATAGGTGAGTAAGCTAGTGAGCTCTCAAAGAATTACTAGCTTTAATTTCAGCTTCATTTGACAGGCAGAACTACGTAATGATGATGATGTATACATACTGATATGTAACATTAAATGTATACAGGGTGGTCCACACGAAGTATGACACAACAAGAAAATATTATACTATGCAAGGACACTGAATAAATCAAGCTTTTATCCCCATCTGGTAGAGAAGACTTCTGCATAAGATCGTTTGAATCACTTCCGAGATATTTGCTTTTAGCTTTGGTATAATTATTTATTCTCTTTCAAATCTCATCCAAAAATTCTTCGATTTGCAGGCAATGGTATTTGTCCAAGACTCTCGCCAGGTCTCTGACAAATCAAATGGCATGTGTTCTAAAGGGCAGACTTTTTCCTTTCAAGCAGACAGAAAAGAGTATTTGTGGGGTTAAGGATTGGCGGGCTAGAGGGCCAAAGATCTTTTTCTAATGTCCAAATGATGGATTTCACATCTGCAATTCCTTCTTTTCGCTGAGGGTTGATGCCTTGCTAGAAAACCCCGAAAGCATCCATAGTGTTTGTTTTGACCCAAGAAAGTGACACAGCCCTTCAAAATTTGCTTCTGATGTTTTTCCAGAATATCGAAAAACTGCGATTTCCGTCGCTACGGCGACCGCGCATGAGATGAAATAGACCAAAGCCCATTAAACATCATGTGAGCCACATATAAACAAACAATGCTTGACCTTCTAACTCGAACGTTCTAACCCACGATTTCTCGTCATGGCCTAGCTGTGAGCAAAACGCCCGCTCTTCCAGATTCATTTCATTGGATTTGCTAAAAGGAGATCCTGGGACGAAACTTCGCCATAAACTACTGCGCACATTTCGAAATTTTTTCTTGAGCAAAATAAATTCTTTCAAGATGGAGGTGGATATCTTGGAATTGATCTAAAATACTTCATACAGAGTTTTCTTGTCTATCAGATAAAAACAAAAGCTTTGTCATTGAGTTCTGGTAAAGTTACGAAAAATTTTGTGCGACTTTTATGTGAACCATCCTGTAAAGTATGTGCATTGCAGACTATCTGAAACGAGCATTTAAAGAGGAAAAAACTTGACGTGATTGACTCAACTGACTCAATGTCTTTCGAATCAGCCGATGTTTACGAGCATCAAGCAAATACAAAGTAGGCTCAACGAAATAACAAGCATGATTGTTACATGAGCCTCTTATTGTAGTTTATTGTTCGCGCATGCAAAGCTCATGTTTATTGAAATTTATAATATGTTGAAGCTTGTATGCTTTGCGAAAATGCGTCAGATGTTGAGAACACTTCTTCAATGCAAAACGGCACAGTCAATACAAAGTGCTTTTATTTCCGACACTATATAGTAGAAGAGTTTTGAAATGTTTTAAGGCAAAGATAGTTTTTGTTCAAGCACTTGCCTCTCGACAGCCTTTCAAATATGGAGAGCTCATACAAGGGAAGAATGATTAGTCGAAGTGCCTTTCAAGATGTAACTGCCTTGAAGAGCATGGAACATGAAGATGAAATTTTTTTTTGATTTTTAAAACTACCTCCCTTATTTGCTGCACGCTTCTCAGGAAGGAGTTACGAAGATTTTTTGAGTAAAAGTTCGAATGTGTGACTGGTGTGAATCCATTGTTACCTTTTCCTAGCGTTCACAAGGCAGCAGCAATGAGTTGCTTGAGTCAAAATATTCGATGTACAGAGTGATCCGACAATCATACAAGCCCTAAGAAAAATGTCACAACTGATTTTATAGTCGCTGCGCATTCAATTTGCGCTTTCAAATAATTTTCATTCCTCGCTTCGAAAACTCGCAGCAGATAAGGAATGCAGATTTGAAATTGAGCGTTCCATGTTCTTGAAGGCGGCATATATCTCATATTGGAAGGCTACTTCGACTAATCATCATTTCGCGTCGGAAAGATTTTCGTTTTGTTGAATATAGACAAACGATATTCAGGCACATCCGTTTGTATGCAGATATCGCTTGCAAAATTCCAGTATTGCAATAGATAAGCTCTTCACAAATCGACGACTGCATGATAGTACAAAACGTACGAAGGGCAATCGGTATTCCAAATTTTTCGCGTCATACAGTGTGCCTGCGGTACCGACAAAATGCGGTAAAATTTGCGCGTGCACAATAACTGCCCTGGTAGTGGCGGCATTTTGCGCGCACAAGTGGCGCATCACAGGCTTAGCTATCTGTTCACGCGCAAGTTTTACTGCATTTTCTTGCCATTGCAAGTGCCGTAAGTTCGAAGTGGTAGAGCGAACTACAAATGTGTAAAAGTTTTATTTCCCCTTTCCCCATAACCGCTAGGTTTCTACTTTTTATTAGGTTGGATCGAAAGCTCTCGGACATTTTCAAACGAGATCTGCTATTTCTCGAAACTCAATGCATGTACATCCGACAGAGGTACCACTCGATAAGGCAAAGCAAGCTCTACAAGATGGTATGGGAAAGTTTGTAACAGCTTCGACCCAGCGTAAGTTTGCATCCAGAATCTGAGTCGTGCTGAAGGCTCGAAAAATTAGGAAAAATTCATATCTTCGTTCGAATAAATTCTACGGATCTCCAAGTTGCTTAAGCAAACTGCACACCACATCAGACACTCATATGCACCGTTCCTGTATTTTATCCTTATCTGGAAGTCGAGAAAACGAAAGTTCTCAAGTTTGTACAATAACGAAAATACGCTGTTTCCAACACTTATTTGTATAGCCCTTAGGAGTATAACCGTAAATTTTCAGTTTCTACAGGTCCTAGTTTCCGAAAATTGCCAAATTGGTTCTCTTCACTTGCGTGTTCCATGCTAAGATCAATATTTTCGAAAACTAGAGCTTGCGGAAAGCTAAGCTTTACAGTTATACACTTCTAAGGTCTTGTAGTACACAATTACATGTGTGGAAACAGCACAGCTTCGTTTTTGTATGATCATGAAAATTCACGTTTTCTCGATTTCTAGATGAATAAAAATTACAGCAATGGCGCCCCCCTTCCCCCCCCCCCCCCCGAGAACGGGTCGCGAAATTTTTGAAAGATACTTACATGGGTTATAAAAATATGCAGACTTGATTTTTGCAAACAATTAAAATAATTTCTAGAATTTTTCAAAAGTTCAAATTAGCCTTATAAAAAATTTTTTTTCGGGGGCGCGCAAAAATTTTGAGAAGCCCCCCTAAAATTTTTTCGGAGTGCGTGGCTAACGCCATGCACCTTCATTTGAAAAATTTTTTTGCCGCCCCCCCCCCCCGAGCCGGAATCCTGGGTACGCCACTGACATATGGGTGTCTGATGTGGTGTTCAATTTGCGTGAGCAAGTTAGAGATCTGCAAGATTTTTTTTGAACAAAGATTTGAACTTTTCCCAATTTTTCGAGCCTTCTGTACGACTCAGATTCTGGATGCAAAATTACGCTGGGTAAGCTGTTGCGAACTTTTGCATACCGCCGTGTAGAGCTTGCTTTGCTCTATCAAGTGATATCTCTGTCGGATTGTACATGCATTAGGCTTGAAGAAATAGCAGATCTCGTCTCAAAATGTCCCGAAATTTTTAGGCCAACCTAATACATTATTTTGTAACCCTTCTTGATTCTTGAATACGTTCTTGTGCAATTGAAGCAATCTATGATATGCATTAAGTTCTGTGATGCTCTAGAGTGGTTTCTCTTATGTGGTGCTGATACTAACGTCAGTAGCCTTGGGAAACCCCGTAAAACCGTGTCAATTGAAAGATGTATGATTTGACAAGTGTATAGAGGTCCCTTCGAGAGCGACAAAATTTTTTTTGTTCAAAAGTGCGTAGCGTTAGCGACACTCCAAACATCGTTTTGAGATGTCCTCCAAAACTAACAAGTATAAGCAAGAAACTTGCACATTTTTTCTAACTCATGTAAGTAAATTTAAAAACTTTGCGACACATTCTTGGGTGGCTATAGATAATTGGTAGAGTTGTGATGATATTACAAATTTCGAAGCATTGCTCAGGCAAATTTGGGTACTTGGGGTTTTCTCAAAAACCTACGCCTCTAAATGGGGTACTGTGCAAACGGCAACGCAGATGATTCACTCCGTTCAAGAAATTGTTATCCAACTCACGCCAGATAGCGAACAAATGCATTGATTTGCACTTTTTTGAAAGGCGGCGACTACCCTCTCAATGGGTTCGCGCGGGAAAGCCTGCAAACCCTGAAAATCTGCATGCGGTCTGGTCTGGGGCTGGGAGAGGTGAAGATGGTTTAATAGTGAATACTCAACTACGTTGGCTCCTGCTTATCATCATTTGAAGTATCTCATGTAGACGCTACCATTTTTGCATGGAAAGTGTTCAGAATTGTCTGGACAATGCCCGAGAGTTACTTTACTGGTTGTGGAATTTCAACTTGAAATCTTTAAGTAACACCCATTTTCCTTCTTTGAAACGTCAAAGCTTTCTTTCACTCAAGGATTTACCACTGCCACGTGCTTTGATTCCGAAGCCGAAGGGAAATACAAGAAGGAGAGTACAAACATCATCCAAAGGCAGAGGAAAAATCAATGGCGGCTGAGCACCGTATCCTAGACTCACAGCTTTTTGATATAATTGCGTATGAAGATATTAGATACAGAAGTGG